CCCTCCCATTTCCTTTGGGATTATGTTTTGTTAATTATTTTCCTTCTCGTTTGACTACAACTTTGTTCCTCTTCAATATCCTCTTGCCTCAACCCATGAAAGTATCCCTGACTTATCCATCCTTAGGAAAAAAATTTCCACCAATCACATCTCCCTGTTCAAGCTTCCATCCATTGTCCTCCATTACCAAAAGTATTTTTAAAAATGTACTTATTAAATGAAGATGTTTTTATTTGGCTCAGAATCCCCCCACCCACTTTAATTCTATCTAATTGGTTCCAACAAAGGAAGTACAAAAGTTAATTCCACCAAACTGAAGAAAACTGATGAACTTCACATCTTCAACCCCACTCTTCCATCTGTAATTTTAAAATTAACAATAATCAGCATCACTATTCACCCAGTCTAGAATCAAAGAATCAGATATTATACCTTTGGCAAATTGAGCTTGAGGTTAGTTTAATATGATTTGTTCTTTAAAAATGAATTCCAGACCCGGCACGATGGCACACGCCTATAATCCCAGCGGCTTGGGAGGCTGAGACAGGAGGATAGCGAGTTCAAAGCCAGCCTCAGCAAAAGTGAGGTGCTAAGCAGCTTAGTGAGATCCTGTCTATAAATAAAATACAAAATAGGTCTGGGGATGTGGCTCAGTGGTTGAGTGTCCCTTGGTACCAAAAAAAAAAAAAAAAGAATTCCAAGTCTTAGAAATCAGTGTTTTCTTTTGTAATTATGAAGCATGTGGCAATCTTGTCCATTATCTTTCTAGGAATCAGTCACTGTCAAGATTTTCAATGTATAATTTCTCGGTTTCAACTCCATCTTCCTCAATTTTTAAATGTAAAATCTGCCATTCTTCAGTTTTCTGACAAAAATCTTCTCTATTTTTTAGACCTGTTTTAGGTCCACAGCTGAGTGGAAAGTAGAGTTCCCATATACCTGTCCCTGCACATGGTCTCCCTGGCTTTGGAAGTCCCACACTACAGAAGTAGATTTGTTACAATTGATAAGCTTACACTGAGAGGTCATTCTGATCCCAAGTCCACAGTCTACATTAAGTGTCACTTTTCCTGCGTATATGCAGCAAGAGTTGGCAAGCATTCAGTGGCAGATGTCCACTATTCTAACATCTCACAGGACAGTTTCACTCCCCTAAAATCCTCTGTACTCTTTTTGCACATTATTCTTCCCTCCCCTCAACCCCTGGCAACCAATGATCTTTCACTGTCTCCAGAGTCTTGCTTTTCCAGAATGTCATATAGTTGAAATCATAAAGCATGCTGCCTTTTCAGGTTGGCTTCTTTCACTTAGTGGTATCATTTAAGATTCCTCTGTGTCTTTTCATGGTTGAGCTACTTTTAAATACCACTTTATTAAGGTATCATTGGCACAGAACAAAATGAATATATTCAAAGTATATCATTTGGTAAGTTCAACATACATGCATACCCATGAAACTGTCATCATAATCAAATTAGTGAGCATATCTAGCACTCCATTAAGCTTCCTGGAGCACTACTGTCCCCCTCCCTTCTGCCTCACATCTCCTCACCCCATACCCAAGTCACCATTGATATGTCTCTATCACTGAAGATCAGTTTGAATTTTCTAGCATTTTATAGACGGAACCACAGAGTATATAGTACTTTCCTTTTTGGCCTGTCTTTATCCATATAATATAATTATTTTAAGATTTATCCATGTTGCATTATGATCTGTAGAGCCTTCCTTAATTGCCAAGTAATAATCCATTTTATGAGCACCTGTGTATTTCTTAAAAGTTAGTGGCAGTTTCATAAACATTTCTAAGTATGCATAGAACTCTACTGTTCATCTGTATCTTCCACTTATTTAAAATAGCTAGAAGCTCTCATTTCCTCATCAATTTTGGGTTTTAGTTTCAAATAATCACATTTGAATTAAATAATGACTAGCATTATAGAAAATTATTTGATTCCTTTCTTGATTAATTAATATTATTTATTTTAAGTCTTATTCTTCCATGATATTAGGTTTCTTTGTTGTGTTTTATTTTTTCCCAGCAGTTAGACTTGATAAGCATTCAAAGTTTATCAGACCTCTCTCAATTATTAAAAACAAGACCAGGGGAGTTAAGAGGTACAAGGACAAACACAGGTGAGAAACAGTAGCAAAAGAAAGTAACATCAAAAAGAACATAGTATCCCCCTTGACTCCAAGACCAACTTATAACTAGTTACTAATCAGACACATTTTATATATTTTCAAGATATACTTGGGTTGAAAATCCAAATATTAGCTTATTTTCTGCTTCTTCATGAAAGGGGCAGACGTTAAATTCCAGGAGTTATACATTTTTACTTAAGTTTTACAAATTGAGTTCTACTGATCCAATACTGTGTAATCTGATGTTAAAAAAATCTCCATTTAACATGTAATGTCCCATTTATAGACATCTTTAATGAAACAAAAGAATTGGGATAATCTCTGTATATTATTGATTTATTAGTAAAGTATTAAAAATCCAGGTAATTGGGGCTGGAGCTGTGGCTCATTGGTAGAGTGCAGCTCACCTGGCACGCATGAAGCACAGGGTTCAATCCTCAACACCACATAAAAATAAAATAAAGGTACTGTGTCCACCTACAACAAAAAAAATACATTAAAATTTTTTTAAATCCAGATAATTTCCACTTAATTTCACAAATGGCAAAATGAAGCCACATTTGATAACATTTCTAGAGCTTAATTTTTTTAACCTAAGCTATGTATCTTAAGATAATCTAGAAAAAGATTAATCAAATGAAGGCATTCAGATTAAATACAGCAACACATTAAAAGGGTACTCTAAAATTCTGGATTATACGGTTTTCTCTAATACTAAAACTAAAAACACATGGCCTGAGTTTACGCAAACAAAAACAAAACTACACTAAGGGAAAGAATGACTAGGTTGCTTCAAAAGAACCAAAAAGAAAATGAGCATGAAATAAAAGCTGGCAATTTGTGGGTGAAAAATATTATGCCCTTAGAATAGTCAAGGTAACATTAAAATTCCTGTAATACAAAGTCACTAGAGTATACTACTAATAATCTCCACTTGGGTCTAATTGTATTGTCCTCAAACTCACTTTCTCCATATCTGGTAGCCCTCATCTCAATATGTATCTACCCTACTTTTCTACTTTCTAAGGAAAAAATTCTAGTGTCCTTTACATTCTACCCTCAATTTATGCAGAAATTAACAACTTCTCCCCATTGCCACTAATTCTCTTCTGATCCAAGCTCCAGCATCTTTGGCCTGGATTATGGCAAGTCCCAGGTCTGGTATCCCTGAGCCTGCTTCTGCCCAACCCTGCCCTAGAGTGACCCTTTTTAAGGGTAAATATGATTGCACACTTTTTTATTCAAGGAATGACTCCCCTCCTTACAAAAAAAAAAAAAAAAAAATCTACTGGGCTTTACTCAGTGTGATCTCCCATCCCTCTCTGGCATTATTCTAAGACTAACCTCTCTGGCATTATTCTAAGACTCCTAGTTTTGCTCCCTCTAATCACAAACAAATCCACTCCTGCCTCAGGGCTTTTGCAAGTGCCTTTCCCTGTTTTCACACCATTTCCCCAAAGAAGGCAAGAATTACCTCTCACTTTCTTCCAATTCAAAAGTCATCTTCTCCAGGAGGCCTTTCCTTGCTACCTCTAATTGCAACCCAATCCGTTTCCTGTCTTTCCTCTTCCTTGCTTTTTCCCTATAGTTCCTAACACCAACTGACAGCAATACTCTTCCTTTATTATCTGAGGTCCCCTGGCTAGAATGTAAGCTCCATTTAGAAAAGTGTCTGGCACACTGTACTGTTCAACAATATTTACTAAATACATACATACTATATATTATTTAAGTATTTAATGCAAATTAAATTACAATAACTCATTTTTCCTTAAGCCTTCTTTTCTCCAAATCCTCCCATCTTTGCAGTATTGATATGGATGATAGCAAACAGCTACCAGAAAGCAAGTTGCTAGCTACTTGCAAAGCTCTTTAAGACTGCCCATATTAATCAACTACATCTATAAAATGAAAGCTCAGAGTCAACATCTTTATTAGCATAAGGTTTCTGGGTGTGGAAGTTTAAAGTAGTAGAGCAGAAAAGCCAATAATATTCAGGAAGAAAAACTCAATTCAGTTTGTCCTATCAATCGGTTAAACAAATCCCAAAGAAAAGGCAAGCTGAATTCGATTTTCAAGGAAACACTGGCCCAAATTCAACACTAGCATATTCAACACAAGATTTAACACCTTAAAATTTTCTATCCGCTTAAAACAAACCCCATGAACTACCAGGCGCTGTCATTGGGTGTGTGCACGGTCTGCTGAGCATATGGGGATGTTTTGTTTTGTTTAACCCGGTAAGGACCGGGGCCGAGGCGGCTTTTCCTAGCTCCGGCTCCTGCCCTCCGCCCCGCTGCCCCGCCGGCCTGCACTCGGGCACCGAGTCTCCCTGGGTCGTCTCCCTCACAGCTCAGCCCGGCAGGGCGAAGCGGCGCTCGGCCACGGCTCCGGTGATGCCCCGGACCAGGGCTGTGGCCTGGAGCGGATGTCAGGCACGCGCGGACTGAGGAGCTCGGGGACTGACAGGTGGGCCGGCCGCGGGACGGGGCGCGGCGGGGCGGCGCGCGGGAGCTGTCAGCCCCCGGCACTACTGCGCGTCCGCGCCCGGGGGTGCCGCGGCCCGGCGAGGGGCCGGCCCGCCGCCAGCCTGCGGTAAGTAAAGTTAGTGTCCGGGGCTGCGGGTACGTCCCGGGGCCCGAGCAAGGAGCATCCCGGGACCCAGGAGCCCGGGCCGGCGCGCGGGCCGAGTCCCCAGCGTCCTCGGCACCCCGTCCGCGACCCCCGCCTGGGCTGAGCGCCGCCTTCCCTCCAGACCAAGCTGGGGTCCGACCCAGCCTTCCGCGGCGTGGCCGGCGCCCGGCGCCCGGCGGCCGCCTTTACCTGCTCCGGGGCCGCCGCGCGCGCTCCCTTACCCGGAGAATCCCCAGTCGCTGCCGCCGCCGCCTGGCCGCCGCAAACTCCCCGCCCCCGCCCCCGCCCCGCAGGTAACCCAGGAAACCGGGCACACCACCCCTTCCTCCCCCGCCCTCCCGGGCCAGACCCGCTCGTCTGCGTCTGCGCGCTCGGTCCCGCCTCGCCCTCCCCGAGCCCCGCCCCCGCTGGGAGGGCACGCCGGGGTCGCCAGCCTGACGCGCTGAACCTCCGAGCCAATGGGAGGGAGGAGAGTGGGCCAAGAGGATGGGGCTTGGAGGCGCGGGGAGTGGCCTGCTGTCGGGGCTCCCGGGCTCCTGGGCTAGCTGCTTGGCTACGGGGCGGGGCAGTGGCCCTCGCCGCACTTCCTCGCACTTGAGTGGCGGCTGTTTCAGAACACAAGAGAGCCGGCTGGGCTAGGGCAGCTTTGGGCACCTTCGCAGCGTCCACTTTTTCGGTCTAGCGGACTGCTATCCTGGCTCGTGGGTGCAGGTCTAGAGGGAATAGGGGAAGGGGCCCGGACAGATGGCAGGGTTACCCACGAGGGATCTCGAGCCTCTTCTGGGGCGGGAAAACCGTGTAGTGGGGTTACCTTAGGCTTTGTTCAAGAAATGCAGGGAGGCTTGCAAAGTCACAGTAGCATTAATTCAGAGCAGAAGTGTATTTGCCAATTCAGCCCTTGTGTTCCAGCACCAATGTGCACCCTGTGACAGGGATTCTTTGCTTCCCAAACTTTAGTCAGGCTTTTGAACCTTCTCCTTGATCCATGTGTGCTCTTCCTTGTAAACTCCAACTGTAGCACATAGCCCTGCCAAGGCAGCTTAGCATGAATCTAATTGATATCTAATTAAAATTATTCATCTCCACCTTGTTCATGCTGGCCTGCCTACAGCTAGAATCCTGTTAGGTTGGTTCAACTAGAATTCATCAACTTGATCTCTCCTCTTAGCAATTTTCTGACCATGGACCCCTTGCTCCTTGCCTGTAAGTTCCCACTTATTCCTGGTGTATTCAGAATGGAGCCCAGTTCTATACTGGGGTCTCTCTTCCCCTACTGCAATGCATTTGTCTTCACCACTTTAATTTTTGTCCAGCTCTTATGTTTTGTTTTGATAACCATCAGCGGAATATGCCTTAATGGAGTCTCTCCAGAGCATGGAAGCCACAGGTTAAATGCAGGATGTTTCAGCTGCATTGCTGACTGCAGGGTTCAGCATGAACTTGACAGACTGCTGCTATGGGCAGTTCTACATTTCAGGGACACCCCTCCTCACCTTGCAGCCACTGTTTACAAGCCTTGAGAATGTCAGAGGTGAAAAAGAGCTTGAACTATAAAGATACAGTTTGTATCATTCAGTAGTTTTCAAGTTCTACTGAATAATACAATATGAAAGCAAAAAGTCTACAAATTGGTAGAAATTGCTGTAGAATCAACAATTCTGATAACTTTTTTTGCACAGGAATCAGGAAATAGAAATAAATCAAGGCTACAAAGCAAAGGCAACTCTGAATTCCTCAGCTCACAGCTGGCCCAGTGACAAGCAAAGTAAATAGTTGTCCATTGATGTGGTTTAAAGGGGCTCTCCAGAAATTTCCCCACTTTAAAAAAAAATCTCCGCTGTGACTCTGATGTTTAACCATTAGCAGTTCATATCTTTAGGTAGAGGTTACCCACTTCCCAGCCCGCAGTCTTTTAAAGTGCAAATACTCCAAAAATGGACAACATACAAAGTCTTTAACAATTTAATAAAAGGGACACCTCCAAGGAATGGGCACTCATTTAACAAATATATAAAAGAACCTACTGTGTGCTAGGTACTGTACCAGGCACTGCAGATATTTTGGTGCCTGTAAACTCAAAGAGGAAGAGGAAGCCAAACTTGACCTGTTTCACAATTTAACCCAAGGCTGAATCTACTCTCATTTATATATCAACTTTTCATTAGCTAATCTTAAAACACCTTTTTAATAATGAACAGAAGTTACAGAAGTGTCAAGTAACTTTCTGTTTCTCTTGATTGGAATCACAATTATATTAAAGCAAAAGAGAGTGAGACAGATTTTTATATGAAAATGACATTTGGCCCATGAAGTGTTTTTATTTGTAAAAAATACAAAGTAAAATCATTTGTGATTATTCTTTCCCCTGTATAGCAGAGTCATAAAGCATTTTAACCAAATGACTACAGTACTGGTTTTGTTCAGGAGCACCTTAGAATATTAAGTATACATATTAGATAAAACTTAGTTTAGGCTGGGCATGTTAGTACATGTTTGTAATCCCAACAATTTAGGAGGCTAAGGAAGGAGGATTGCAAGTTTGAATCCATCCTGGGCAACTTAGCAAGACAAAAAGTAAAAAGGGCTGAGGATATAGCTCGATGGTAGGTCACTTGCCCAGCATGCACAAATTTTGGGTTCAATCCCCCATGCTGCAACAAGAAGGAGAAGACAAAAAGGAAATGCCCTTAGTTAAAAGTTTTAAATGAGCACCAAAAAAAGGCGTAATTGAGAATATGCAAAAGAAGGAAAATAAAGAAAAAGTCATAAGTATATAGAAGGAAGTCCGCCTACATATATATAACATACTGGAAAAAAATTTTTAAAAAGGTACATTATCTATAATTTGACTCTAAAATGATCTTGTAATATCAAGGCTTAAAATGTGCAGTTAATGTAAATATGCACAGTTTCACATTTTATTATTCCCTACAATTTCTTAAAAATTTTCCATGGACAGATATGTAAATCAGATCATGTCACATCTCTGCTCATAAACCTGCAGTTGCTCCCCATTTCCTGTAGGTAAAAACCAAAGTCCTCACAATGATCTTCAAGAGCTCAAAGTGTCTGGCCCCCACACCCTCATCACTTCCTACTCTCTAGGCACTGCAGATGCACTGGGCTTTGTGCTATTAACAAACATGCCAAACAGGTCCCCACTTTTAGGCCTCTGCATTGCCTGGTCCCTCCATATGAGGTGCATTTTCTCCAGATGGCATGGGGAGAGCTCTCTTGTCTCCTTGCTGTCTGTGTTCTTACTTTCTCTCTCAAGGAGGCCCACACTCAGGACTGCCCTTGAACATAGACAGGACAGGCCTCTGCCCTGGGACTTGAATTTCCCTCAGAAGAAAAATTCCCCTAAAATAATTTTGTTAAAAAACATAGGCTACCTATCACTTGGGATCTGGTACTGAGTTGGTGTCCTGTAGCTTAAAACTCTAAACACCATCTCTCTCATAGCACCTACCAGTTTATAACATATTACATAATTTACCTATTCATTATGCTAATTTTTATTGTCAACCCCATTTAGACTGTAGAATTCCCAAGGCAGCAATCTTAGTTCTATTTAGGCTGTACCCCAAGCACCAGAACAGTGCCTGAGATTTTGTAGTCAATCAGTAAATATTTGGATGAATGCTTTGATTCATTTAGAAAATTTTGTTTACAATTAAAATAAATATTCAAAGAGTAAAATTAATCATAATCTTGAGATAAAGTTCTGCTGCTTAAATGCCTACTTCCATGTACTGAAAGGGAAATAGATTTGGGTAGTGGTAGAAAGAATACAGGACTGCAATTTCTGTAACAATCACATGGTCAAAATTGTACAGATAGGGCCTAGGGTCATGGCTCAGTGGTAAAGCGCTTGCCTAGCATGTGTGAGGCACTGGGTTCTATTCTCAGCACCGCACATTAATAAATAAAGGTCCATTGACAACTAAAAAAATATTTTAAAAAATTATACAGATAGCTAAAATCATACATTTAACTAAAGACCAAGGAATTTTTACATTTAAAAAATTATAGATAGCTGGGAGCAGTGGTGCATGCCTGTAATCCCAGCAGCTTGGAAGGCTAAGGCAGGAGGATCATGAGTTCAAAGCCAGCCTCAGCAACTTAGCAAAGTGCTAAGCAACTCAGACTGTGTCTCTAAATAAAATACAAAAAAAGACTGGGGATGTGGCTCAGTGGTCAAGTGCCCCTGAGTTCAATCCTTGGGACCTGCCCCCCCAAAATTTAGAGTGCTTTATTTTATTAGGATGTATGTAAATCTTTTTATATGCTATTTTAGTAGGTACCTCAAAATTTTATTGAAGTGGTGAATTAATGATTCGTGTCTTCATTTAGTTGATAGCAACGTTTAGTTGATAGCAACTTTTTGTAAACATTATCAGACTGGATTTTAGTAAGCTTCTTTTGCGTCATTACTAAATCACCAATAGCATTTTAAATCCTCCCAAACATCTATACTGTACTCAAAAACTCATGCCATTGCATTAAAAGATTTGTAAATTAAAAAAAAAATAGTGTATGAGATGACCTTTTCAACCAGCTAGAGGTGTCAAAAAACAGCCTGAATTTCCTACTTTGCTGCAGAAACTTCTGCGAAATGACTCGGTATTCTCTTTTCACGTGTGGGAAAGACCTGCTGTGGGCAACATGTCACAGATTCTCATAAAAGCATTTCTTTCTTTTTAAATTTCTGACTTGTTTTTCTGCTTATTTTTTAAATTTCTGACTTGCTTATCTGCTTATAGGAAATATGTGCTATAGTAATAATTTTAAACATTAGAAATACATACGATGTAGAAGATGAAAAGTATTCTATTAAGAACAAATAAAAATATATAATTAAAAAAGTGAAAAAAAAAGTGTTCTGTGATCTCATTGCAAAGTGAATCACTAGTAATTTACACACATGCCCACAGATGTTTCAGTACACACACACAATCGTTATTCTTGACGTTATTACTATCACCATCACTGTCATGAATAAAAAGGAGGTAGGTCCTTTGTTGAGCTTAATTCTTGGCCTAGGTATTTACTTGGCATTTCTTATTTGAATAGCAAATATTTGTCTGTCCTAATTCCTGATATATTCCTGTGGTCAACACGTTTCTGATTAACTTGCAGTTATAACCTACACGAACTGTTCATTTTGGAAGAGCAAACGAAGTCTGTCATACACAGTAGTCAGGCTAAGAAGTAAAGAGAAATGAAGAAACACTGCCATGAAAAAAGCAGGTTTCCT